CCTGGTAGTGGTTTCTCTATTCGTAATCTCTATTTGTACAATTGAACTTGTTAACCGAGTTGTGTCCTGGGGGATAGAGAAAAGCTGTATGGATGAAGTAAGGTAACTGAGTGGAGAGTTAAAAGAATCTGTGTATTTATTTTGTATATAAGTTTCTGCATATTCGTATTCTTAGATTTAAACAGTGAATGAAAAAAATCTTCTGTTTACTACCTAATGTGGGTACTCAGGAGCATTAAATAATTCTGTACAGGACAAATTAATGTGACCACTTGGCATATTAAAGCAGTTATTACTACTAAGCTGAATGACTTGTGTCCACCGGGCTTTCACTCATTTTCTGCAGGCATCTAAGCATTATGCTGTACAGAGTTCCAGCGGGCAGCTGCTGCTTGCACTAACTTGCTTGCTCAAGGATGTAACTTTGTGCGAGCACACCATTTTACATTATCTGGCTGTAATCTGAGGCTATTGACCTCAGTGGCAGCTCACCCACTGACTGACTGGAGAGAGTCCAGCGGAGGGGTAAGAAGATGAGGAGGAGACTGGAGCATCTCTCCTACGAGGAAAGGCTGAGGGAGCTGGGCTTGTTTAGCCTGGAGAAGGCTGAGAAGGGGGTCTTATAAATGCTTATGAATATCTTAAGGGTAGGTGTCAGGAGGATGCGGCCAGACTCTCTTCAGTGGTGCCCAGCGACAGGACAAGGGGCCACAGGCACAAACTGAAGCAGAGGCAGTTCCATCTGGACTTGAGGAAGCACTTAACTTGAGGAAGAACTTCTTCACTCTGAGAGTGACAGAGCCCTGGAACAGGCTGCCCAGATGGGTTGTAGAGGAGCCTGCTTCTCTGGAGATGTTCAAAACCCACCTGGACACAGTCCTGTGCAGCCTGTTCTAGGTGACCCTGCTTTGGCAGGGGGGTTGGACTAGATGATCCACAGAGTTCCCTTCCAACCCCTACCATTCTGTGACTTTGGTGATGCCCGAATGAATTCTGTAAGGGCATTGTAAATTCATCTCCAAGTCATTATACATCATTCCTACCAGAGGTGCTCAGGATGTTAAAGGTTTAGTATACGTAACAGTGAGGCCTGTTTGTTTTGCACTCTTTCAAAGTGAGGAAGAAATCAAGGCACTTCAAAAACCAGAACCGTGTATCTAGTTGGAGTATTCTTGTATAAGGCAGGAAAAACAAAAAGTATTTTCTAAGTTCCTGGAATCCTCCTTACATGCAGAGTGATTTCCTGACTGCCTTCCGTCTCCTCTGTCTTTTGCAAATGATGTGCTCATATGATCAGCAGCAGAAATGCAGTGTGACACCTGAATGATCAAATGGGTATCCTAGCGAGGTACGCATAGCAGTGCCACTGCGTTGTGCAGTTTGTAGGTACATCTGAGCTGAAAACGTTTCTAAACAAAGACTAACGATGGGCGTGCAAATGACAGCCCACTAGTGTGCTGTGTGCCAAGTACAAAGCCCAGAAGGCCTGAAGTCAGGTGATAAAACGTTTGAGAAGTTGCAAACCACGAGTGTGAGAAGGCTGGGGGAATTCCAGCACCTCTGACCTGGGAGAGATTGCCAAAGCCCTCCTGTGTCCCTTTTGTATTTGACATAGCAGGCTCATTCCTTTTGAGTTTTGTTTAGCGGCAGGTATTTCAGAAACTAGTGAGCACAGCCAGCCTGATCGAACAGTTTGCTCCAGAATTAATCCCAGGCTGACACCTACAGCTGTCTGGGGAGCTGGGATTTTCCCTGGGGAGCCAGAGTTCAGCCCCTCCCACTGAATCTGGCTCATGAGGAGACTTCCAAAGACTCCTTACTACCAGAATTATATTAAAAACAAGAGAAAGGAAAACAGTAAAGCAGCAAGCGAGTTCCAGTGAGATCTTAAAGGGAAACTGTCAGTTCCCACATCTGGTTTGCAGATCTGTGGTGGTCCGGGAAGCACTTTCAGGTGGTCTCCAGCGCTGTTTCCGTCACGGCAGTAGTTCTCAAGCACTACCACTTCCCACTGGTTATAACCCAGGCTTCAAGTCTTTTAGTAACACTTGTACTGAATGGATGAGGAGACAGCTAGGGGCCTCAGTTTTCGTTTGCCAGAGATCAGATATGTAGGGCCACATTTGGACAGGTTTTCTAACATTTAGTAGACTTCTGCTCCTCGGTGAATCTGTGTGGCTTTCAGAGGGACTGTTGTGGATTCAGGAACTGCTCAGCGTTAATAAGGAGGTCAGAATCTGCCCTTTAAGCTGGAAGAATGATGTCCATTAAAAGTACAGCCTTTCTGTTTCACATTTTCACAGCTTTTACAACTGGAATAGAAATGTCAACACTTCAAATTCCAGCCCAAATTACCAAGTGATTGCAGAAGATGCCTCTGGACTACTCTTCAAGAACAAAAGCGATAGGAAAATAATAAATGTGGATCCCAAGGTAAATGTGTTTTTTTTCAATATTCTGAATTGCCTTTATGCAATGGAGTTTTGCTAAACTGTTGGGTCCAATTGCAAACAGCATCTTTATCAATACACACCTAGTATTTCAGGCTTAGTCAGACATGCTATTCCCCTTGTTAACACAGCTGCTCTGATCCCTGTCAGGATAAACTTAGCCTACCTTGTTTATGACCAAGTGTGTCTAGGCCTTTCCCTTGTGACGACAAAAATCAGAAGTTAAGCTGACCGATAAAATTGAATGCTTTTCGAAGCAGGGTTTCTCCTCTACCCTGCCTCTTCCCCTGCCCTTTTTCCTTCCCACCAGAACAACAAACTGTTGCCATTACTGCCAGGATAGGCTGCAGGCTGAGGCTGTGTCCTGTTAATTGAATTGCCAAGAAGCGCTAAGGAAAGGGAACACAGGCTGAGGAGAAAAGTGGTACTGACTGGAAGATGTGACGGCTGAAGCATGGGAGCATATAAGCAGGTGAAAAATTGCTCAAATGTTGGTGACACATCCTGGGGCTAGTGGTCCCTGTATTCATCACCTTTTAAAAATCAAATCTCTATTATGAAACATGCCTGCAGGTGGATTAAAAAAAATAAATATTGGATAAAAAAATAAATACTGGACTACTTTTAAAAAAAAGCTGCAACCCAGCAAATCCAGAAAGCAGAATTAGTTCCTGCATCTGAAGTGTGGGCCATCTTCTACCTCAGCACTTTTGCAGTGGTGAACTGAAACTGGCAGAATTCCTTTCTCAACCACACACAATCCTTCTTCTTCCTCCTTAATACAAAAGATTTTAAAAGTCTGAAGGAAAGCGGCCCCATTAAGGTCGTTTAGTTCTTGTAGCAGATTGTCACTGGTATAAGGGTCAAGCTTGGATTTTAAATGCTATCCTTCACAAGAGAGAAATTTGATGTTAGGTGCATCTTCTTGTGGAGAGCTGTGTTTCTCCAGCGCTCAGTAAATGGTTCAGAAGGATTTACGATTGAACAAAAGGAAGGAAAATACTTGTTCCTTAGTAGTGCTATAAACTGGATGAACGTTGTGGACTCGTGTCTCTCGTATATGACTGACAGCGCAAACGCATGCTTTGCTTTCACTTAAAAAGTGCTTTGATCCTATTATTGCTGTCTCTACCATTTATTTACATAGCTATTGAATCCAAACAAAGCAAATGCTCAAGTCATGCCCGAACATCCCATTTTCAGCCATATCTGAAAGCTGATTAAATTGCCAAGGGTATTTTATCTTTCATGTTGAGAGCTGAATAGGTAATAATATTACAGACAGCTTCCCTCTGTAGGAAACCAACTGTGTTCCTCTGGTGCCAACCACACTTTTTTAAACTTTACAACTGAAGTCCTTGGACTATAGATTGGATGTGACAAACGCACCCAGGCTTTGGTTACTCTCCAAACCAACGTGAACTAAACTGGGCAATAATTTGTTTGGGTTTCTACAGAACTGATCTAGAATGATGATTTCTTTGATGTGCTTCCCATGAAAGATGGTCGCATATGAATGGTAACAGTACAAAATACCAAATTATATGCATTTCAAAATCAGTGCATTGGTTTGTTAGAAATTTAAAAATGCATACCTAAAAATGTGTTTGGTTGGTTGCGTTGAAAGAGGGCCACGAATCCAACTTCCTGCAGCTGCAGAACGTCTGTAACAAATAACCAGCTCTTTAGTGTCTACGTGAAAGTTCCTCGCGTGCCGAGAGCTGCACTATAAGAAGCCTTTGTGCGTGTACATTGTGTCCCCTCACGGGTTGCAGGGCACAGGCCTGTGAGTCCCCATGAGATCCATCTGGCTTTGACTTTTCTGTAACATTCACTGATAGAGAACAAGCTTTTGAGAAGTACTTGCTATGGGCCGAACTGAAATCAGCACAAGTTCTCTCTCATGGTGTTCAGCTTGAACAGACTTTGTACGAGCTGCCTGATCTTTGCAAGCGGGCCTTCTCTTTGAGCTGTCAATGGTCCACCTGTTCCTGGTTGTATTTAGCTAAAAGAATTGTATCCCTGTCTTTGCCTCTGCTAAAAGCATTGCAAAAGAAATGAACTGCCCGGTGCTGGGACATAATTCTTCACTGAGAAATCCCCACCCTCAGAGCTAGTTGCATTTATCAAACGTTATGTTCCAAGGGAGGAAGAAGAAAATTCATGACATTAAAAACCATGGCTATTCCCTCTCCTGACTGGGTATCTGTAATATTCTGTGTTTCAGGCCTACCCAGGAGACAACACAACACAGACGCCTGTTGAAACAGATCTCTATCTCCATGTTGTTATCTATGACCATATCATCAGAAGAGGGACCTAAGGTCCATCTGTGTGGCTCTTCTCCCAGTTATTTATTTAGCTATTTTAAAGCCATCTGGAAGAACAATAAACAGCTGAAAGATCTTTACCTTGTGTTCAAGGGTAGGAAGGGGGCTTTTTATACTGGTTTAGAGTTGGTTTGTGCCTTGCTCCTTGAGGGAAGTAAAGTGGAAGGAAGACCCCATACCAGCTGTAGAGTCCATGTATCTGGGCCCCTCGTTTGTCCTTTGTGAAGTCCATGGGGTATGTAAGTTGCAAAAGCACCTAGAGGGAAGACAGAAGGTTTGGACCCAACTTTTCCCACTACTCCTAAGGCAGCAGGGTTGCTGGGGCAGACGTGTTGCATTCTTTCCTGGAGTAAAGAGAAGAAACTACTGTCCCATAGTTCCCCAGCAACAGGATGTTTTAAATTCTTCCTGGGAGACTCTTTTTCAGGTAAGCCTGGACTTCTGTTGAGCAGCTAACACCATGTAATATGGACCAGGCCATTCACAGGGTAGCAGGGAGAAGTTGTACCAAATAGACTGGTAAATGTAAAGAAATCTGCAGCATTTTGATTGCAATTAGTGGTTCCTTGAAGGCTGTTTTTCATCCTTTCCTGCTCTTGCTGCTGTTTGAGTACCAACTTGCCAGAAGTTCAGGCCACGACGCAGTGGCCCAATGGACTCTCTTCCTTTCCCAGGGCACTTGGGGAAGTTGCCTGTACTTACGTGACCCAGCTGGTACAACCACCAACATAGCCATCTGCTTACTGGAGAACTGGAAAATGGCACAAAGCTAAGCAGCAGAAAGAACTAGCAGGAAACAAAAGTAGTAATTACAGAGAAAAGGATGTGGGGATGAAGGCAGAGGAAACAGAGGCAGAAAGTAGCTGGATAAAATTCACTGGACCTTACTCTTTAAGGGACTGGATGTTTTTAATGAGCTTTTCTGGTGTTGGTACAGTGAATTTATGAAAAGAAGTGAAGCAACTCAGACAAGAAAAAGGGTGGTAGCAGTGCTGCTAGGCTTACCATAGGGCAGGCTTTATCTGCCAGCCTCATCACAAGCATGTTCCCTTTGGAAAAACCTGGGAGCCTTGGTCTTAGCAGTTGGCGCGTTAAAGATCCCTCTACTGCAAGGAGAAGGGAGTGTTCCAACAATTACAAAGTGAAAGTTGTTACTTCAAAGCTGCAATAATTTGGGAGAGGCTTAGAAGCCTTGTTTTCTTTCCCATAAAACTTCCAATGTTATGAAGTTCTGCCATTTCCAAAATATAATAAAATCTTTTACTGTAACAGCTTGCGTTTATATAGCACACTTCATCCCATAGCACCCTGAAACGTTTGCAGCAGACAGGCGAAGCGGAGGTTCGTTTGCTCGCCCTGGGACAGCAGCTGGGCTGCACAGGCAGCACCTGGAGCACGGTGAGGCTGTCGGGGGGCTCAGTGCTGGTGCAGGGAGCTGGCAGCGAGGAGCCGGCGCCCACTGCAGCACTTTGCATCGGGGCGAGTGGAAACAGCAGGCTGAAGCGTGCTTGGAGAGGAGGACAAACAGGAAAAGAAAAATGATGCCAGAACTTACAACTCCAGAGGGAAGACCTTGCACTGTTAGGGCAGGCTTCTCCTGACCTTGGTGCTTCTAGGTGTTTCCCGCATTTGGCAGTACCAAACATACAGATTTCCATCATTCCTTGCATCTCAACTGAGAACTAGTCTTCTGTCATTGACTCAGCTTTTCTGTACTGCCCCTGTGTCTTGATGCAGCGCAAGGGAAAGGCTAGATATTGACCTACAAATATTTTGTAGCGTTAAAGCAAATCTGCCTTTATAGTACAGCTTAGCATTTGGGATGTATTTTTTTCAAGAAAAGAATCAGAACTCCTGAGCCATTTTGAAAATGTTAGGTTTTTCCTTTCTTGAGCACTGGACAGCGAGGAATCCTCATGAAGGTTGGTAGAAGGGACAGTTGGTGGAAAGGATATGAATTATATTTTTCATTCCTCTCGACAAATGAATTGTTATTTTTCTTTCTCAATCTAATCAGATTTTAAAGTAATGTTAAAAAAACTGAGCTGGAAAGTGGTCCCTGGAGTTTTGAGAATGTTTTCTCAATCATAAATAAATAACATGAAGTAGAACTTAATAGAAGTAAATTTTCAACTTTAGAAGTTATTTCCACATATTCAGCTTCCTTTGTTTTCATCTTATTAATCAACACTCTCGGTTCAAAAAAACAGCAGGAAGTCTAGGCGAATCCTGCGTCTACATCTGCAGAAGAATGGGAGAAAATTTGATTCTAGGATTTACATGTTTTCAGGTCAGCGAGCGCACCAATGCGCTGTATGTCTCTGAGTTAATCTCCTGGTGTTCTGTCTCTTCTGACATTCAAAACTTGGGACTCCAGAGCGTTGGTGTAAATGAAAGCTCTCAAGTTACATGTTCTAGTCTTTTGCCAGTCCTAACTGGAAGAAACTCTATCCTCTGCGGTAAGTGAAAATCTGTCCCCAAAAACTTCTGTAATCTGGCTTGCCTTTTAAAAAAAGGATGAATCTTCTTAGGCAAACAAGGTAGCGCCTAAAAGCATCTAAGTGCTATTACACTCCATTTCCCTAAAATGTCAGTGGTAGTTTTTCCCCACATCTTGTCACTGTTCAGCCTTGGGTAGATACACAGTAAGGTCGACATGCAAAACATGGTAATCAAGAGGGAAGCTTTCCAAGAACAGATAACCACATGAAAGCTTCCTGTATATGTTGTTATGCTCTATGACTTTTTAGCAGAAACAAATGCAAACTGAAAAATGAAATTACTGCCTGCTGTAAATGTAAGGTGAATGGAAATTTCTCCATTCTGTTCTGAAAAGAGACCCTGGTATTGTCACCGATCATGACATTTAGTGCAGGTACAGAGTTCGCACACTGACATAACTGATTGTAGGCATTGATGGGAAAGCGCATTGTTGCAAAGGATCCCCAAAACTCTACATTTTATACCAGTGGTGAGTGGGGGGGGGATTGTGTGGTTTTTTTCAAGCATGTCTAAACCATGTCCATGAGTTATGTTCTACAGACTTTATTAGCCTGTATATGTTTTGGATTCTTTTATGTTTCTTTACCTCCCCTTCCAAAATCATAGTTTTGTTCTTTTTATGTGGAGTCTGGATCTTTAGTCTTGCAACAACTTTCGGAACTGTTGTTGTTATTTGGGATAATAGAGTGAGGCTGAAAAGTAGCACGAGATTGGTGGTGAATAGCTCCATTCTGAGCCACAAGCAGAATCACAGGAAGAGTTATTATTTAGTACAAAATACAATGCTTTGAAAAGAAAAGTAGTTTTACACTAAAATCCAAAGTTCTTTGTTGTTAAACTGTAACAACAGGATGTCTTGACATAGTTAGAAACTTTTCATATTACGTGAAATGAAATTCTGGTGAGTTTAGTGTGATTTTATGGGGAGGCATCAGCAGCTTCGCATTCTCTCACCAAAAGTGTTTTGTAGAAGGCCATCTGTCTGAGGAGCCCAAGCAATGGCAGTAATTAAGCCCCACTTTTGAATTTGGTAGCTATACAGTAAGGTATCAGCTCAGAAAACCCAGCAGCACTTCATGAACTCTTAAGTTTGTGATTCCAGCAGCAGCCTTGCCAATTTAGCTGCATCTTCAAAGCTGAAAGAAGGAAATGGGGGATGGCAGCACCATCTTAATAGCTGACACCAATCTCATGCAAAGAACAAGACCTCCAAGCAGCATACAACTTGGTCATTAGATGTTCTCCTTTTCGCCATCAGCAACAGAGGTGGTAGGGGAAAATCCTCCATTAACTCCAACTGTCCACATACAGAAAAAAAATCAGATTTAAAATGAAAAAGACCTTTGGGCAATTCTCTGCGAGACAGGCAGGGGCAAGCAGTGCAGGCCAAGCCACTGTTCCCGCTGCGAAGAAAACAAAAACACAGGTGCTGAATGTACTGAAGCCATGCAGATTAGCCCTGTGTGCAGTACATGCTCTTTACAAGAAGAAAAAACATCACTCTTGTTATTTGGCTATCGTTTGCTTGAGGCATGTTTTATTTCAGCTCAACTCCAAGCAGAGTTATTACAGATCCCACAGCAGAAGTTCTCTGTGATGAGAGAAACATGTGATCTCTGAGCCCTAGAGAAGAAATTATGCTGGGAAGTCTGATGCTGGCCACCTGAGCAAACACCCAGTCCAGCGAGCGTGAAAAAGCAAGCGCAATGGATATAGGTAATGCTGAACACAGGAGCGGTTTGGTACAAGTTTCTCGCCATGAGCCTGCTTAGCAAAAGGCTATTTTCTGTACACATCTCTAAGACCAAGAGCAAGGGGATTCAAAGAGAGCAAGCGCAGCTTTGTTCCCCAGTAAAAGGGGAGAGCTGGCTCTGCATGTCGCTGTTTGTGTAGTGCGATTCCACACACTGCTGGCTCATGTGCTGTTTAGTGTTCTCCTGTGCTGGTTTTGAACTTCTCAGTGTTGTACATGGAAATGTGTATATATGAGGGATGTAGGGGAATGATACAGCTTGGGATAAGCAAGTCGTTCTGAGCTGACTGCGGGAGGTTCCACTGAGTGGATCACAAGACCAAATCCAGTGAGAAGAGACATGGTTTCTCTGGAGCGACGGCTTCTGGCGGGGCAGGACAACACACCTCAGCCAGAGAATGTGGGCCCAGTAAGAGTGGGGGTGACTTTGTGGGGTTGGGGACATGCTGCTGGGAGCAGAGCTGGTGTCACTGACCCAAAGATGCAGTGGCAGGAGCTCTGCCAGAGCAGAAAACAGAGAAGCCCATATGAGAGAGGCAAATAGATGGTGCAGGGGGCTGGTGCAAGCCAGCCGAGGGGAAGCTGTGGGGGGTGATCACCAGGTGACAGCTAGGAGAGCTGGGTGGAGGAGCTGCAGCAGCGGAGATTGCTTTTGTAAGTAAAGTTTGAAAAGTCTGAAAGCCAGGCAATGAATAAGCACAAGTGGGATTTGCCTTCGCATGCTGAACAGATTTTGCT